GCAAATGGCAAGATCTCATTCCTTTAATGGCTGTATAATATTCCATTGTATATATATACCACATCTTTTTTATCCATTCATCTGTCGATGGACATCTTGGCTCTTTCCACAGTTTGGCTATTGTGGACATTGCTGAATAGCTACCAATCTTAAAAATATCAGTGCAAAAGTCTACTAACACATGGTCTAGCATCACATCAAAAATACTACACCACCACCAAGTGAAGATAATCAGGAACACAGGAATGGTCTAACACTAGGAAATCTAGTAAAATTAACCATGTGGGGCGCCTGGGGGGCTCAGTCAGTTAAGCGTCTGACTCCACTTCAGCTCAGGTCATGATCTCAGGGTCATGAGACAGAGCCTGCTGTTGGGCACTGCGCTGGGTATGGAGCCTGCTTAAGATTCTCTCTCCTCCTCTCCTGCTGCTCGCACATGCTTGGGCTCACTCTCTCTCTAAAAAATAAAAATAAAAAAAAATTCACCATGTAAATAGAATTTAGGGAGCAATCACATGATGTCTCGTTTGTATAGAAAATGGTTTTGATAATTAACATCCATTTTTAGTTTTTTAAGCCCTTAATAAAATGGGAATGGATGACTAGCTCCTTAGCCAGAGAAAACATTTCTCAAACCAGGCTAATTGATAAAAGACTAAAAGGATCCCTATTAATACCAGGAACAAAGTCTACCTACCATTACTAGAATTAGAAAAAGGGAATAAGATAAAAAATTTTAAAGAAGGCAAATTTGTAGATGAAACAATTGTACCTGTAAAGTACAAGAAAATTTCCTGAACGTGATTGCAAAAATAGAATTATTCACTGGTTAGGTACAGATTTATTAAAGATTTTATTTATTCACTTTAGAGACAGCATGAGTGCGGAGAGGGGCAGAGAAAGAGAAAATCTCAAGGAGACTCCAAGTTGAGCAAGGAGCCCAACACGGGGCTCGATCTCACCACCCTGAGATCATGACCCGAGCTGAGATCAAGAGTTAGATGCTTAAACAACACCCAGGCGCCCCACAAATTTATTATTTTAAAACAATCAAGTGCTACCCTATATAAAGTAAAACTTAATATAATGAAGACAAGTTTTTGTTAATAAAAACCAGGATGAAATATTTGGGAATAAACAAGAAATTTCAAGATCTATAGAAAAAACTTCAAACTGTTAGAGGATGTAAGAATTTTAATAAATTAACTTATTCTGTGGGAAGGAAGAGAGCGCAATTATCCCAAAATCAATCTATACGTTTATGAAATCTCAATAAAAATATCAACCAGGTATTTTTTGGAACTAAACTAACATCCCAAATTTGATAGGGTAGATTTTAAAAGAATAGTCACAATAGCCCTACCTAATGTTAAAATATAAAGTCACAGTTATTGGAGCACCTGGGTGACTCAGTTGGTTAAGTGTCCGACGCATGCGCACTGAGGATGTAAGTTTGTGTAGTGATTTCTGCTCAGGTCGTGATCTCAGGCTTGTGGAATCAAGCCCCACATGCATCTTCATGCTCAGTGCGGAGTCTGCTTGTCCCTCTCCCTCTGCTCCTCCCCCTGCTCACTCTGTCTCTCTCTCAAATAAAATCTTAAAATCACAGTTATTGAAGCTGAGTACTATAGCTTTAATAGATCAATTAAAATATAAAAATAAACTGAACTTTATATGGAAACTTAGTACATGATAAAGATGCGTTTTTCCTTGTAACCTAGAGGGAAAATATGGATTATTCAATAGAGTTCGGAAAACTCTGGGGGAATTGGAAAAAATATATATCCCTAGCTCACATCTTACACGAAAATTTATTCGTGGTGGCTCAAATATATGCACAGAGAATGTTAAACTGTAAAGTGTGAAATACCTCTATGGAAGGCAATGTGGCAGTATTCATCAAAATTCAAAACATAATTTAAAAAGGATTTTCACTACTAGGAATTTATTCTTCATGAATACCTCCCCCAAAGTAAGAATATGCATCATAGCAGTATTTGTGATATTTAAAGACTGGGAGATCCCTGAATGTTCATTTCCAAAGAATTTTTAAAAATCCCTTATTTCAATAAAGTGGAATACTAAGCAAGTGACAGAACACCATAGGATCCTGCTATTTGTGTGAAAATAGTGGGGGATGTATGTATGTGTCTTTTATTTTAAATCTGTAAGCTATCTCCCAAAGGATATATCATAAGTGGGTAAACAGTGATTACATCAAGAAGGAAACCAAAAGAGTATAGGAAAAGAAGAGATTCATTTTCTTTTTTTTTAATTTTTATTGTTATGTTAATCACCATACATTACATCGTTAGTTTTTAATGTAACGTTCCATGATTCATTGTGCATAAGAGATTCATTTTCACTTTTCACCTTTTTGTACATTTTTTTATATTTTATACCATATGCATGTATTATCTACTCCAATTGTAAAATAATGTTTAAGGAAATGCAAAATAAAGTAAAAATGGAAAAAGGAAGCTTTCGCTTAAATAGTAGGGATGCTTTATAATCAGAGAGAACCTGGTTCAGGTTTAACCATGCCACTTGCTAAAAGTCTAACTTCAAATTATTTCTTCTTTCTGAATGTCAGTTTCCTTGTTTATACTGTATGAACAAAGAGAGAGCCTACTGGATGTGGTTGAAGTGAAGATTAAATGAGATTTCTAAAACACTAAGTGCAGTATCAGGTAAATGTGAAGGCCCCAATATAAATTGTGGATATCATTATTATTTTATTTAATCCTCA